TTAAAAGTCGTCAGGAGGTATTCTTTCTTCTATAATAAAATTGACATTTCTATATTGTTTATCTTAATTTGAAACTATATACCACAGTCGACTTAATTCTGCTTACAATATTCTGGTATTTTGGAAATAGAACTAAACAGAAAATGAAGGGGGACAGAATATAGTTATTTTTTAATTTCTGTTTTCTGTTTAATTTCGAATTTAGCTTTTAATCTTGAAAATTGTGGAAGCTTGAAAATTTATAAGAAATAAATTTGCTATTGTTATCAGATTGAAAACTTTTTATTCTCTGTCCAGTTTGATTTTTGACTAAATTCTTCTATTTCCTAAAATCTTCTAAAACTTCATTTCTTACTTTTCAGAAATGCATCTCTGCCATCTGGATTTGTCATCTGTGAAAGTAACAAAATATTTGGCTTCTCTTATTGAGCAAAACTTCATAAAACCACATGTATCTGAATGAATTGTTTCTATTTCCATTTGCTTTTTGTCTTAGGAATTATTTGTCATCTTTCTCAGAGTAATTTTATTGAACATAATTTACAGACTCTCTTAAAATTATAATGTAAGCTACCTTCATTTTTATGAAATTTATTTTGAATTGAAATCCCTCATCACTTGCTTTCGATCTTAGTATATATGTAAAGTGCCTGTAAATTACATATTTTACATAAACACTGACAGTTTGTATAAACTACAATCTAAACATTTTATTTAGTCATTTCATAGAAATTGTTTAATATGAATCCACAAGTTAATGTATTTTGTAAATTTATGTGGAGTGATTTTATAACTAATAATCATTTTTCCAATGTTTGTTGAAACTTGGTAATAAATCACTACTTTTATGTTAAATATATGTAATTATTGGTCAGATATTAATCTTTTAGGTCTGATATCAATTCTCAAGAACAAGCTACTATCTTATATTGTCCATTAAAAAAAATAAAAAAATGAGGATTGGGCAGTTGTTCAACTAAAAACATTAATTTCAATCTATAAATTCTGTCGTTTGTAGCAACTTATATGTAGCTTATAATAATGCTATTGCTTTCATATACAGTTTATACTGAGATGGGAAAGAAGATTTTGATTTGAAATAAAGGTACACAGACAGATGGGATGGAAAAAATATTAGAAAAATTATGCAGATAGCATGGCAATTTGAATAGGGTTTTTTTAATAATCCACTAAGTATTTTGGACATTATTATTAATATAATTTTAATACAGTAGTACCTTGATACTCAAACTGCTGCAAACTCAAATGCATGTTCAGAGAAAAAATTACTTGGTACTCTATTGAACAAACACAACTTGCTGGAAAAAATTTTAAGTTAATAACAAATATTTTTATTTTAGCTTTAATTTTGTCATCCATAAAAGGTTTTCATGATAAAAATGATAACTAATTTAAAAATAAAATGAAACCCTAGAGTTGTCTAACTTTATAAGACGAAACTTACACTCAATCCAGTTTGATTTTTTCACGTAATGCATGCAGACTCATTTTGCAACCATTTCAAGTGGATGAAGTGTTTCAACAGTACATGTCTGTGTGACACATTAAGATTTGCTGCAAGTTCATAAGTTGTTTGTCAATTTTTAACAATTTCTTTTTGCAATTTTTCTTCATTACAGCTTTTCACTGCCTTCCTGTTATGTAACCTTTAGTTCAAAATTTCCAGAATGAAACTTTTAAAATCACATTTGGCATGTTCAAAGTTTAGTTGCATTGTCCCCATTCACATTATGAATATTTTTTTTTTTATGGTTTGTATGGTGTCATATCCTTTCTGAAACTCAAAAAACCATAATATACTATATATGCATTTTATCTATAGACATTTCTATTTTATTTTACTCAAAAAAAAAAGAACTTGAAGTAAAAAAGTTCAAAATGAGCTTTTAAACATCTCATATTAGTAATAATGTGTTCACAACTGTTATAGTTTAAATACACATCTGTGTTAAGTAATGACAACTGTTAAAAGTAGGCAAAAACTGTCTGTTCAACCCATAAAATTAAGAGGCATATTCTGTTACTCTGTATTGTTTGTGGATATTTTTTGGTTTTTTATGATTTAGGCTTATAAACTTCATGTTAAATTTGTGTCGAATTCTAGTTAAATTGGTTTTCTGAATGCATTTTTGGGGAGGTCTGGAATGGATTAAACTGATTTACATTATTACTAATGGGAAAAATTCATTCAGTACTCGCCTTTTGGAACAAATTGAATTTCGAAGTACTGCTGTAATATTTTTTTGAAATACCTCATTATATTGTTTAAGATTATTTCATCTGAAAATGAAGATGGCTAAGACACACTCTACATCATGCCAGTCAGAAAGTTCTATCATAAATTGAGGAGGATGTGGAGATTTTTTTTACCAGATACTTCTCAATTTATAAATGAATTTTAAAGAGAGGAGAGAGCCATACTGAAGACATACCATATTTATTTAGTGGATTCTTATTTGTCTCTCTTGAATTCAAATGATTTCTATGAATTTAATAGATATTAATAGACATTTTGGATTATTTGTCATCAACCAATACAAAACAGATTGTATAGGGATTACTTTTTTTTCAACCTCCACTGACCCAGAATAAAAAAAAAAAGAATGGAGAACTAAACCACTTTATTTGTAGAAAGTAGTACCTATTTTTCTACATAATTGCCTTGTCGATTCAGGCAGACATCATACCGTGACACCAGCTTTTGTATACCCATGTCAAAGAATGTTGCCTGCATCAGGCCATTCAGCCAACCTTTAACACTGTCAGCCAGCAGTATACAGTGTGGACCTTGAAATTTGAGGAAACTCCTCACTGAGCTCAGAAATCGTGAACTGATGCCTTTCTTGCACCTTGATCCACTTTGTCCACCAAATTGTCAGCCATCACATACTTTCTCCCTTGACCACCCTCATCATGAACATTGTTACATCCTTGTTTGAATTTCCTGCACCATTTACGCCACACACATCTGTAGCTCATGAGGTTCTCATCATACACATTATACATCCTTCAATGAATTTCACTTCCATTCAGCCCTTCGACCTGTAGAAATAGAATTACTGCTTGTACTTCTATTTCTACAATTTCTATCCAGTTGGTGGGAGACTGGATTGGCAGCATCATGTTTATGTGTTTACTGCAGAGTAGCAAATGTCTAAAATAGCTTGGCACAATTCTAAGTGGTGAGGGAATATACTACTCACTAGGTCACATGTCCTTGTCCCTGTCCCTAGGTCACATGTCCTTGTCCCTGTCTCATATGCTTCTTCCAATTTTTTTCATGCATTATTGGAGGTTGAAAAAAATAACCCTTGTATTAACTATATAAAAACTTTATATGGCAAGAAGGGAGATTCATATGATGATGTGTTTGTTTGTTTAGTACACTGTGTTCCATGTAAAATCAACCTCCAGCACTCACTGGAAACAATACAAATGAAACTTACTGAAGGTTGGAAAGTGGTGTCATTATGCATCTATACAGCTTTGTTTATGTGTAACTAATGTTCAAACTGACCTTATATAAAATATGCTTCAGTGCTTTTGCGATACTTTCCTGAACTTTGCATATAGTTCTGGGATTGATATAGCCTTTCCTCTTTAAATATTGCCTATAAAACTTACATCACATAATGTTTCATATTCAATTGGGCTGATTTAAAATTGGACACCCTGTATAACAGTACTTGTAAATTTTATTACAGTATTATAAAAGATACTTATTTTTAGATTTAGGAAAAGACTATTAACCTCTGTGGAAAAAAATTTCATTAAACATTTGATTTGTTTTATTTGTATAAAATAATTATGCTGTTATCTATTGGAAACTTATAACTGGTAAATTTGAACTTATTAGATCTTAATATGTCTGAAAAAATATCTAAGTTATTTGAATTTGTAATTCTCAACTAACAATAGCGTCTTACTACAGTAGAATCTTGTTATAACAGATTGCAGAATAATGGATTTTTTTTCTCCAGATTTTGCCAAATTAATGTAATTTTATCTGTTTTTAGCAGATTCATAACTCTGGATTTTTTCTAGCTCCATCTTCAGTAAACATCGTATTTTTTTCAATTTTTAATTAATAATTACATGTTTCTGGATAGCGAATTCAAAAAAATACATTGCACACTGTGTAAACTAAGCACATAATCATCACAGTTCTCGCTGCTAACATTGCAGTCATTCATCAGTGTCCTCCTGTAGCACATTTATTAGTGGAAGGAAACTGCTTCTTCCAGATATGCATGTGTGTGTGCAACAAAGGTGTACCTCACCTTTATTGCAGAGACGTGTTCAGGAATATTGTACCTTGGAATCATGCTCGCATAACAGTAACATTTCATATTGCTGATACCACTGAAAGAAGCCCAGAAAAATCTTGTCAATGCAGTATCATCAAAGCAAACCAAGATAGACGAGTTTTTTTTAAACAAATTTTGAAGTACTAATGATTATACATATTTTGCTGCTTTTTGGCTTATAATGTGTACAGTTTCTGTCAGCTTTGTTATGACATAATATACGATCTTATAATATGTGTTTGTATAAAATAAAGGAAAGAAATCTCAAGAAACCGAATAATTTTGAATACAGGTGTTTTCTTCTGTAGGGGTTTAAAAAATAAAATTTTTTTCCAATAACAGATATTTTCCTGGGATTGCAAGGAATCCATTGTTCACGACATAACATATTTTTGGAACAACCGATAATTTTCAGCGCTTCTAGCAATCCGTTAAAACAAGATTCTACTGTAGTTACAGCTGTTATACTAATGAGTAATGACTCATTATACTACTGCCTGATACACTTTAGCATAAAATACGCTCTTAGACAAATAACTAATTTAAATATAATTTTCTCCTTATCCAGACAGTATAATTTATATATTTTTGTATAATTTGATTTCTAACAATAATTGATTATAAATATCTAAAGAATGAATTGTGTTAAATTAATATTTACTTATTAATTAGATTAACAGAAGGACCAGGAAAATTCCAAACTAAAGCCTGGCTTGAGAGAATTGTAATAATTGGAGTTACGTCATCTCCTAAAAGTATTCATATAGATACTAAAGGTAAGTTTTGTATTTTAATTCTAAAATATAATTTTCGATGAAATGTAAAAATATTTTTCAATAATAATTTATGAGAAATAAACATTATTAAAAACATTTAAAAATTGATAAAAAAACTGCCATTTATAAAATAATACTTCACCAAACATTTATTTGCTCAGATTGGCTTGTTTGATGTCATTTAAATATGAGTTTTCCACTTTGCTGTACAAGGAATCTGGCTGAGTAAAGTCTGAAATTCCTAATTACTGGGGAGTACAGTCTGAATGATTTACTATTATTAATCTGCAAATGTAACAATAATTGCCATATATTAATAGTACTTATTCAATATTTTCTCATCAAATTTTCCATTTATAATTATGTAATAAAATTTCAATCCATAGAAACTAAAATATAAATTTTCTAAATTGATATTATTATCTTTGTCACTGGTATCCCTTGATTAACATGGTTAATTAACTTTCAGTAGTACCATGGATACTAAAATCTCATTAATCGAAGACAGAGGTACTCAATTGAATAATCACCACCCGCTAGAACAAATTTTTGGTTAATAACAAATATTTTTATTTAAAAAAAAAATGAAAATAGCAAATTCATCAACACCTTATTTTCCCAGAAAAACATATCTATGTTTAGTAAAGACATTTATTAAAGCTGCATTAATTAAAACGTATGACGTGTATATGAAGGGATTGCTGCGATTATTTTCGCACGTTAATCAAATCCCACATTAATTAAGCAAAGGTTACCTGTATTTGTCAATTTAATAAATATATAACAAATAATATTTTAAATTATATTCTGATACATTTGAATTTATATTGAATTGCATTTAAATCTATTTTTAAGAACTAATTTCTGTAGCAAAATATTAGTTATTATCCTCCAGTTCTTTCAAATATTTGGAATTAACAGGAAAGAAACTCTTGATTTATACTACTCAGCATGAAAATTTAGGAAAAAATTGAGCTTGTTTCCAAACAAATATAACTTTTTGATTATTAAAATAATTTATGAAAGAAATAATTAAAATAAATATCTTAATTAATTAAATTATGCATATAACTTTTATTTCAGATGGAGATTCCAGAGATCTACAATTTACTTACAATAGCGAAACAAAAGTTTTAGTGATACGCAGACCAGCAGTCAACATAGCACAAGAATGGAAAATTACAATTAAATCTTAATTTAAGCAACTCATTAAAGAAACACAAATGCCGATCGGGCCATTATTCGTTTACTTGGGGGAACTAACTTCATTAAGTTTCGTCGGCATTACTCCGTTTCATTTTAGCTCGGCACTCCGGCGACTAGTGTTCCGTTTACTTTTTGTTTTTTTACAAGAAAACTGCTCCAAAAGACATTCCATTTGTCTGATCCTTCTTTGTGATTGTGTTATTGAAATAAATACATCTTTACTTGTTAATCGTACGTATATTGATTCGGCAGAGAAAATCAATACTTTCTACTTAAAATAAACAATAAAATTATCTAGGAATTTCTGTTGAGTAAGTACATTCAAAAAATTACAATGGAAATGGAAATTTCATATCATATATTGATTAATTAAACACACCAGAATTGAAATAAAAAATGGTTTTAAATTAATATATATCATATCTATTGAGTGTACAACATTGTATATTGTACTGTACAGTACATTCCTATAGTTTCAATTTCATTATCCCATCTGGGATGATGAAACTGGTCACCCTATGGTTGGATTATGCATTTTCTATGCTATAAAATTTGTTTGTCATCTCAGGATATATGAAATTATATTACTTTTCTTTAAAATTTATTATTGAAAAAATATTTTTTCTAGATATTAAAACTTATTTCCTACAGAAATTTTGGTATGTTGAAAGGATGCAAATGAGAGCCTACATTTTTACTTTGCTGGCTGTTATATATAACATGGAAAGTATGGGGATCGGTCAAAAAATTACCTATTAAGCAGGTTTTTCACACACCTGAATAAGACCATTTCCCATAAAAGTCCATCCAGGAGTCACTACCACCACCGCAACAGGTCTCCCATGTGTTACTTTGCCTTACCACATTAATACAAACTAATTTGTACTGTGCATATGTCTGTCTTTAATTAATATCCTAAAACATTTTCGTTTTAGTTAATGTAATTAACTTGTAAGTGAAGGAAAATAACCGAGATTTTGGATTGGAGAATTACATATGCATTCAGTGGAAGAATGCAGGTTCGATTTCCACCAGAGACAAATGATACTCATTTTGAATACCAGACTGAAATAATTTTCAAAAATTTTAAATAATTATAATTTGATGTTTAACAATAACAACACATTGCAACTAATTGTTTACCAAAAGAGCTCGTGTGGTGATCTTAGTTCATACATAAACTACTTGCTCTAAATGCCACTCTATTCAAGTATAATTGATCTGTGTGATGTATCAAGTGGAAATCCGAGGAAAGAACGTCCAGGGCCTCCAGTTATGTAAAAACAACTGGAGGACCAGATACATTTTGACAAGTGTATCATTTATACAGGGCTGTGGAGTCGCGTAAAAATCTACCGACTCTGACTCTTCCTTATCATCCGACTCTGACTCCGGCTAAAACACCAAAACTCCACGACTCCGACTCCGACTCAACAGCCCTGCCAGGGCTGTGGAAGTCACGTAAAAATCTACCGACTCTGACTCCGACTTTTCCTTACCATTTGACTCCGACTCCGGCTAAAACATCAAAACTCCACAACTCCGACTCCACAGCCCTGCATTTATAGACTAAGGTAAAAACATAAAATGGCGTCACTAGTCATCACAGAAAGCAGGACGATAAGAATCAGGCCAATTGGAAGGATGTTTAGAAGTGATTAAAAAAAAAAAGATCTTATGGAACAATAAAATTGGCGGGTGGCTTACCCAGGAAGTGGTAGGTGCCCACCGAACACCAGTAGTCAATCATGGTTTTGTGTTTGGGCCCAACGGGCAGGCCACCTGAGTTTTCACCTTTGTAACCTAAATAGGGGTCAGTTTCCCTTAGTCCACCCAGTAGGCATTTGCCTTGGTGGATGGCTCACGTGTTGCATTGCCATAATCAAATAATTCAAAGCCATTACGACTTAGGCCAACCAGTGGCCAATCGGGCCTGAGGTGTCTAGCGCTCTGGAGACCCAGGAACGAATTTGGACTGGTCAAAAAACCCCAGTAAGTTTTTGGCTTGGTTAAATCCTTATTGAACTTGCTTAAAAGACCATCTTAGTGCTCACGGGAGAAAGAATTTTAAAGAGAAGTCCACCAGTAGTAGATGAAACTGTGGCCATATAATCTTAATGAACGATCTTAACTAAGGGGAGGAAGATAATGGGGTCAGTCACCGTTCTGAGGTTTGGAGTCATCCTATCCGCTCGAATTCGATCCCGGGTCTACCAGAGCAGTAGAGAGAATAATGTTCATTCAATCTGTTATATAAAGAGCTATTGTAAATCGTCCATTCCCGTACAAGAATAACTATTATTATAAGAGGTTGTGGCCGACGTTTTCATCGCGAAAACGAGTACGTCGGACGTTCAGCGCCGCCTTCCAGTAAGCCTAGAAGTTTGACAATGGCGTTTGGAACGTTGAGCGTGATTTCACTGACAATTGTCAAACTTCTAGGATTACAGGAAGGCGGCGCTGAACGTCCGACGTACTCGTTTTCGCGATGAAAACGTCGGCCGCAACCTCTCTTTAGTCAATATTAAAAAATTTGTCTACGGCGACATCTGTTATGAGACTTTATCATTAAAAAAATCGATACAATGGCGCTAATCCGAACTGTTTGAGTGCAGTTCGGATTAACGAAGGTGATAGTCGTCGTATAGAAAAATGTCCGTTTTAAAATAAAATTTTCGATTTAGGAGAATACGTATGAATCGTTTTATTAAATTAATATTAATTAAAATTATAATGAATTAACTGCGAAGAAAGTTTAATTTTTCAGTACAAAAATGCTATTTTTTTTTAATTTGTCAAAATGGCAACACTTCAGTCTACTCAATCGAAAACATGGCGGCAAGCACGTGTTCCGTGGAGGTAAAAATATACGATAATAACAAGACGACGACGTTATCCGAATCGTTTGTCAGTCCGTGTAAACTAAAAGAATTGTCGTTGGCTGTTCGTAAAATTCAAGAATCTACAAATGAAGCTTTAACTAAACTCGTGAATGAAAAGAAACTAGTCGATGGTATAAGAATGATTATTTTCCACCTTCCTGTCGGTTTCAAATAATGTAAGTTTTATTTTCAGATGATGTGCCGGATGACGACGATTCTGACGATGACGGTGAAATGTTTCGATGTAAAAAGCTTAAAGTGTCCTGAAATTTTCATCTTTGGTCGATGTAAATATGTAAAGTTATATTAAATCATTACCTAACCTGATTTTATCGCTTTAAAATTATCTTATTACGTAATGATACTGCCAAATTTTGGAATATGGAATTTTCTAATAGAAGAGTCAAGATTTTTATATTTCTAAAGCAGTTTTCCTGACATTAAGCCTCAAATTATTACACTAAGCAGTTACACTATACATTAATTAGGCTATTTTTAATTATTTTTCATCTTTTAAAATTTTTTTTACTTATTTGAAGTGAAGTAATTACTTAGATTCATAAATAAAAAAAACTTAAATCTCATTCTAAGTTGATCAATACACACAACTATCACAAAATGTTAAACATGAATGACATTTTTAAATTAATATATATGTATGTACAAGTATCTTGCTGAAAATTCTAAAGATATAGTTTCATTGATGATACAAGAAAACCAACCAAACCGTTTTAAAATAATTACTTTTGCTTTTTTTTATTTAAGGCTTCTTCAGATTTAACCTTTGTTACAAATTGGAACATCTTCAATATGGTGCGTATTTTAAATCTTTATAAATATTTTAATCTGGAGGAGCCTTAAATAAACGAGCGAATATTTATTGTGACATTGTCTCTGTGCAGGGCTGCAACTTTTAATCGTATTTTTATTTTGTTTTGTTTAAAATATATGCTCCCCATCTCAAATTAATAGTATCTTACCTCTATACGTCATAGTTTTTCTTTAACAATAGAGTCATGCCAATCATCTATTACTGTTTTGGGGGAAAACTTGAAGTAACGTGACTTCCGGTGTAAACCAGAGGTTCGAATATAGTCACTCGGGGCCTCCTGCCCCTAAGGTTTCCGTATCTGGTCTCGGATTTCATCTATCTAATAATTCTGTTCTCGAGATTAAGGAAAGACAGTGGGAATTTATAGGTCTACAATTTTTTCAAATTGCAGCCCAAAAAGGCAAAAGTAATTTGTTTAAAACAGTGTGGTTGGTTTTCTTGTATTGTCAATAGAACTGATGATTAATTTAAATTGAGAGAGAATTTATATACAAATATTTAAGTTTTTTTTTGTTACTAAGCTTAAACTAGAATAAAGTGTAAATTTTAACAAGTTCTAGACTGTTCCAGAAGCAATTTTTTATTTATCAAATGTTTTTGGCTATCTTAGTGGCATCCTCAGAATCAAATTTTGTTTGAGAATATAAAAATTTAGAATAAATTTAAAATAATTATGGCATAAATGCTTTATTTATACCAATAACACAGCATTAATACATCCATCATTTTCTGGATTGTTTGTAACTTGGGCATATTTACCCCAGACTACTTTACCCGACTGCGTTACCAAACCCAACTCGCTGATGTTCACTTCGATGATCGTTCCCTTTGTAATCACTCCTAATGACGTGTACACGATGGAGCTTGGATTTTTCTTCACGCCTATGATGGGAAGATAGAAAGTGGCTTTCAACTCGGGATGCGTGACGTGTGCCTTTTTGAACCTAAGTCCCATTGGTCTAATAAATCTTTCAAATTTTGGAGGCTTTCTCGTAAATCCTTCTCCTACAAAACAGACTTTGGTTACCATTCTCTTCCAAGCTTTCTTCTTTCGCTTGCCGGTTTTTAAGACCCTAAATACTTCTGCCTCGCTGACGCCGCGAACTTTTGGAATGGGAACTTCCCATTTTCCCGCTTTCTCCTTTCTCTTTTGTTTGATCATATTTGAAAGAATTTTGGCATGATTCTGCCTCTCTCTGTCTAGCAGATAGGCCGGAACGGCACCTTCCGCCACCTTTTCTGGGTCTTTCTGTTTAGTTCTTCTTTCTTCATGCATTTTTAGTGTTTTCTTCATCTGTATTTTTTCAGAAAATCTCTGCCTGTTGTACAGTTTTGCTTTGATTCCACGCAATTTCTTTGCCTTTTCTGCCATTTCGTGAGGCAGACGCCCTTCCTTCTTTCTCTTCCTTTCGTGATAATCCAGTCGGTAGCCATACCGCTTACGATGAAGTTCGATATGTTCGTTCTGAGGCATGACGATTTTATTAAGGTAACTGAAATTATAAAATTTTCAAAATTAAAAATAACTTTTGGTATAAAATCTATAAAAAAAAAAAAAAAAAAAAAAAAAAAACACATTTTTACATATAAGCATTTTATTTCAAATCTGCAAATAATTTTACTCTAACAAAATAAAGATTAAATATATATATATCATAATGTTAAAAAATATAAATTAAAAGTGCACAATTATTCAAAATACCTATTTTACAAGACTAACACGACTAGAATTATTTCATTAACATTCAATAAATCATCCAGATGACCAACATTAAAAAACTGTCAGTGTACTGCTGCTCTGGAAACAAAGTTCGAGTCTAGCAAGAGAACTTCAAAATCCTCATAGGTCAAAAGGACCTATGAGAATAGTGTTGGGGTTCATCCCTTGACATCAAACCAATAAGGACTTTTTGTGTGCACAAGGTAAGTAAATTAGGTTCTTATTAAACAATTAAATTTGATACGTAAAATTAAAACACAACTTTTCATATTTATCCTCTTTTCTATCAGAAATCTGATCCATTTGGAATTTGCAAAACAACAAATTGTTTTAAAAAACAATAGACACTAATATCTTATGTTTTCACAAACAGTATAGAATACTTGCAATGAAATGATTATACATACTGTGAGGGGGTATATCTCACAAAGGGTCACATATAGCGGTATAGTTCCTTTTACTTTTTTGCTCATATGAATATGCTCTACAGCTCTGTAAAGTCCCAAACATCTCATTCAGAGCTTGAATTGAGTCCCAAAATAGGGGTAAGATTGCAGATGTTAATAACACTATTGGAACCTTAACAGAGGCTGATTTCAGGGGGATTTGCAAAGGATCACATATAGAGGTATGGTTTCTTTGACTGTTTTGCTCCTATGGGCATGCTTACAGCTCTGTTAAGGTCCCAACAGTGTCATACACATTTGCAATTGTGCCAAAACAGAGGCTGACAGGTTTCTGCTATACCGTAGCTAAATGATTGAACACGTTAAACTTATGTTCATGCAACTAATATGTTTTGTAAACGTTGTTATATCTAATAAACGAATATTCAGTCGTTTTATCATAGAAGTGAACTTATGGATCGATCTCATTGCATCACGTGATTAACTTAAAGGTTGTTTTCCTATCCATACATGAATATCGATATTCGAATGTCCTGATAACTACTAAATGACAACATTTCCTTCTTCTGTATTACGAGTTCTCATTTTAAATAATATTAAAATAAATATTAATGGTTAAAAGGTAACTCACCGATTTCTAGAAACTGATTACTTCCATTCACGTGGCTCGTCACCTGTCGTAGTTACGGGAAAACAAGATGTCCGATATAGCCAAATTATAGCCAATATAAAAACCCAAATTGATTTTATATGTATTTTAATTTACATTAAATCTGTTGATAAAAATGGTTATAAATTCTATAAATTAAAAAAATGTTTATAATATTTGATTGTAAATTTATTTTATTACATGCAGGTTCGAAGCAAATATCAATACTTTTGTAAAAAAAAAACTTTATTTCTTCGGTATCTTTTTAAAAATTTTTTCCGCCCTGTGGACACTAAGAAGGCCTCTTTAAGCAAGTCTATTATGGATTCGGCCAGGCCCACAATGGGGCAACCGGATACAGGTCCGTGACGTGCTATGATACAGAGAGCGGCACCGTAAGGGAGGCGGCATAAAAACATTTAAGGGGCAGAATTTCAAATACTTCCATTAGTGTTTCTCAAACGGGGTTCCGGGATCCCGGTTGTTTTTCTAACCCGGGAAATTTTTCTTATCCCGGGAAATCCCGCAAATTTCTTAAAAATTCACTTTTTTTCTTATTATGTGTTAAAGTTAAGAAATTTTGCAAATAAAAAGCATAATTATCTCATTCACTGTCAGAATACATTTGTATTTATTAATTTTAAACCTACATATTAGTTTTTTTTTTATTTTTCCTCGTTATGGCATGCCACAAATGGTCGATAATCAATACGTAGCTTATTTGTGCCAGGACTCTGAAAATTCTTTACTTGTCAGAACCTGTAATATATGGAATAATTGTGCTTACGCTGTCTTAATTTTTAACCATGCCCAGTAGCTTCAATAAATGCGTAACGCCAGATTGTGCAAATTGGGCAAAGATACAAACGAGTATAAAGTCTGCAAGTATGAAGTTTTTCTTCATAAACC